TGTGTGTGTGTGTGTGTGTGTGTGTGTGTGTGTGTGTGTGTGTGTTTAATTGCTCTTTTAGCTACTTTTGCCTGAACCTAACACTGTAAGTGAAACAAGGCATGTCTTGAGTTGCTGTAAATTATGATACAATACATATTTACTCTCTCATTCCAGAAAACAACAACAACAAACAACAACAGTTCATGAAGGACAGACATCATGAAGTGTCCGAACTGTTTATATTTATTTAGGTTACTGTGAGTGAACGCTGGCGCGTCTGGCTGCCGCTGCTCACCGGCTGCTATTTTTGTGATTTTTGTGAAGTTTGTAAAGAGTTTCTGCGCTGTTTGACAACGGACAGATTATGATGTGGATCCACAGGGTGTGTGTGTGGTCTGTCCTCACCTGGGCTGTTTTATCCATCGTCCACCACCTGGTGACTGCTCTCCTTCAGTACACCACTACAGAGCTTCTGCGACTCCGCTTCCACCTGGCTGTCCCTTCACCTGTGGCGCTTCACCTCCATCCGGACATTGCTTTTAATCCCCGCCGAAAGTACATCCACCGAGGGTCCCGGCGAAACTTCAATACCAATGACATTGACTCCGTAGAATCTTTTTGGTCCAGAACTCGTCGTCCTCCCCGTAATTCTGACAGGACTGTCAACCGCAGTGTGTTAGCCCACCTGGCTAGGTCAGCTAACACTATCGTCAAGCATCGCAATTCCAACATAAACTTCGGTCTTTTAAATGTCCGCTCTCTCACTGGAAAGGGACATCTCATCCAGGATCTCCTTCTCAACCGTAAGTTGGACTTTCTTTGCTTGACTGAAACATGGCAACAGCCCAACGACTTTGTTTCTCTCAACGAGTCGACCCCACCTGAGTTTGTTTACATCTGTCACCCCCGCAACCCAGGGAGAGGCGGTGGTCTCGCGAGAATTCATCGGAAGCACTGGAAAGTTCTCCCTGTCTCTGCCCCCCTTCTTCCACTCATTTGAATACACTGCATCTCAGCTCCCTGGATCTACTCCTACTATTTTATGTACTGTTTATCGACCACCAAAGCCAAATAAGGATTTTTTGTATGACTTTGCTGCTCTTCTCACTCATCTTTCTGTTCTCTCTCCCAATATGATTATTGTTGGTGACTTTAATATTCACATGGACAATGACAATAACCTTCTCACCAGAGATTTGACTTCCTGTCTGGATAGTTTTGGACTCCAGCAATACATCAAATTCCCTACTCATTCTAAAGGTCATATTCTGGATTTGGTTTGTTCTGGTGTCACCCCTACTCACTGCAAAGTCAATCTGTTTCCCACTTCTGATCATATGTTTATTTCTTTTGATGTAAATATAATAGCTTTGAAAACTTGTACTCCTCATGACATTACATTTAGGAAAATTAATTTTATTGATCCTGACATTTTCTCATCTGCTATATATGACCTTCCGTCTATTCACTGCTCTTCAACCCCTGATGAACTCACTTCCTACTATAATGTCAACCTCCAAAACCTTCTTAACACATTTGCTCCACTCAAACACAGATCTGTTTCATTTTCTCGTTCAGCACCATGGTTTACGTTCAACCTGCGTCTTCTCAAAGACAAGGGATGCCAATTGGAACGCCTGTTCAAAAAAACTGGACTCACTATACACAAAGAAATGTATAACAATCATATTTTGTTTAATAAGGACTGCATTGTCTCAGCTAAATCTGCATACTACTCTGGTTTAATCAGTTCTAACGAAGGTAACTCCAAGTCTCTGTTTTCACTGTTTGCCAAAATTACTAAGCCTCCGGACTCATTTCCCTCCCACATGTACTCTGCTGACTTTTGCAATTCTCATGTCCTTTTTCACTGACAAAATTTCCAATATCCACCAACAACTCAACCCTGTAAGAGCTCCTAACACTGAAGATGACCCCCTGTTTTCCCCGCTGCCCTCCTGTCATTTACTCTCAAGTTTCACTCTTCCTTCCATATCTGACGTAACAAATATTATTCATAAATCAAAATCATCCACCTGCCAGCTTGACCCTCTTCCCACAGTGTTAGTTAAAGCTCGTCTCCCCACATTAGTTCCTCTCATAACCACCATCATTCACTCTTCCCTTAATACTGGAATTGTTCCTTCTTCTCTGAAAACAGCTTCTGTCACTTCAATTCTAAAAAAGCCTGGTTCAGATCCTAATAATTTTGATAACCTTCGACCAATATCTAATCTTCCTTTTATTTCTAAAATCCTTGAGAAAGTTGTTGCCTCTCAGCTCCACTCACACCTCAATAAACATAATTTTTACGAACAATTCCAGTCTGGTTTCCGCCCCCACCACAGTACTGAAACAGCTTTATTAAGAATCACCAATGACATTTTGATGGCAGCTGATTCTGGTCTCCTCAACATACTCATCCTCGATCTCAGTGCGGCATTTGGCACTATTTCTCATGATATCCTCCTGAACAGACTAGCATCCATTGGTATCAGTCATACTCCACTTGCTTGGTTTAATTCATATCTTTCAGGCCGCACTCAGTTTATTCAATTTAAAACCCATTCCTCAAGTTTGTTTCCCGTTGCTGCAGGTGTGCCCCAGGGTTCTGTATTAGGGCCCCTTTTATTTATTATTTATATGCTCCCTCTTGGCCACAAATTCCGGAAATTTAATGTCAATTTTCACTGTTACGCAGATGACACCCAGCTCTACATTTCCTCAAAACCCAATTCATCTCTTCCACCTTCCTCCCTATCGGACTGTCTTATGGAAATTAGATCATGGTTTTCCTCAAATTTTCTTAAACTCAACAGTAAGAAAATAGAAGTTTTACTTGTTGGCACAGTCTCCACTTTAACCAAATCGCAGAGTTTTTCCATCAATATTGACAACTCCCATGTTCTTCCTTCCCCTCAGGTAAAGAGTCTGGGTGTCATACTTGATAATACGCTTTCATTTCAATCTCATATTAACTCTATCACCCGGTCTGCATACTTCCATTTACGTAACATCAACCGACTTCGTCCCTTTCTTACTCCTCACGCTGCTGCCATCCTTGTCCATAGCCTTATCACCTCCAGGATTGATTATTGCAACTCTCTTCTTTTTGGTCTCTCGAATAAGACTCTCCATAAACTCAAACTCCTCCAGAACTCTGCAGCTCGGGTCATAACTTGTACCCCGTTCAGAGAACACATCACCCCGGTTCTGCAGCAGCTTCACTGGTTGCCCATAGAAGCTAGAATAAATTTTAAAATCTTAACTCTCACGTTCAAGTGCATCCATAACCTTGTCCCTCCTTACCTGTGTGATCTGCTTCACATCTCCACTGCTTCCCGTTCCCTCAGATCCTCATCTGCCACTCATTTTATTGTTCCTTCTGCCCGTCTCGTCACCATGGGGAACAGAGCCTTCAGTCGCTGTGCTCCTCAGCTCTGGAACTCCCTCCCTCCTGTCATCAGGAACACAGACTCTCTTCCCTCTTTTAAATCACAACTGAAAACACACCTGTTTAAACAGGCATATTCTCTTTAACTTTGTTTTAACTGTTGTTTTATTGTGACTTATTTTTAATTATTTGTTGATTATGTTTTTATTAATTGCTGATTTTAATTGTTTTTGTAAGGTGACCTTGGGTTTTTGAAAGGCGCCCTGAAATAAAATTTATTATTATTATTATTATCATAGACACCACAGCAGCAGCTGTCTTCACTGATAACATCCTTAAATGATCATCACTGACATGAGGCCTCCGTCGATGGTTGAAGACGAAGGCTTCACTACAATACACTTTTAATCCAGGTTACAATAATCCACACTTTTAATCCAGGTTACAATAATCCACACTTTTAATCCAGGTTACAATAATCCACACTTTTAATCCAGGTTACACTCTTCCCTCAATTACACATTTTACAAAGTAGCTACATATTGTGCAGGTATAAAGATACATTTGTATATATTTTTGTGTACATTTGTTTTTTTTTAAGCTATTTGACTAACTTATTTTTTATTATTCAATATTTTACTAACAGAATAGTCAATATGTGCCTATGTGCGGGGTGTTTTTCAATATCACGGTCTTTCTCCTCGGTCAAGGAGAAAGAGTTTGATAGAATTTTTTTTGCCTCCAAATCCCAAACATGTGTCACTTTCATTACTTTTTGTCCGTCTAAACAGGTCTCACTTGTAAAAGAGTCTTTGAGGCTCAGTGTGATTTATTGCTTAAATAAAGTTAAATGACTGAAACAAACATCAGATGATGTACTTTGAACTTGACAACACTTTTTGGATCACCCTACTCGCGAATCTGCTTTCTCGAACATGAAAATCATCAAGTCCAAGAACAGATATACAATGACTGATGACCATCTGGTGACCTGTCTATGCCTTGCAACCACCTCATACTGCCCCACCTATAACTTCAAATGTAGATCTTTGTTCAAAAAAGGTTGAGCACCCTGCTTTAGACAAACCTCTACTAAACCTCCTTAGTCAGTAAATTAGCCAAAGTTGACAGAATGTAGACATGTTTTAACAAATGAGCAGACAAGCAGCTGCTGACCAACAACTGTAGTCCTACGTGTGTGTTTTACTTACAGAATCCTGTGAGAAGACCGGAGCGTGGTCATTGCTGTCCGTCACCTTGATTATTACTTTTGTAAATCCAGTCAGACCTTCACCCATAAGGTCTGCTGCTGAAACGTCCAGCTCATACTTAAGGTAATTCTGTTGGAACAAAGTGTGTGACAGAAGTCCAGGGTGAAACTGTGAAAGAAAAACTACTAAACAATACCAATAATGCCACTGTTGAGTAGTGGGTCATGTTTTCCCCTTTTGGTGATAGATTTTGTTTGTGCAGGGATTTTGGTTAACTTTATTTGGACCATCCCCCCGCCCCCGTTTTTTTTTTTTTTTTTAAACATAAAATACTGATTCTAGAAATAAAGCAGTCATTTACATGGGTTGCTGGTTCATTTCACATTTTTTGTTGTGGGTGGATCTAAGTGTGCAGGGTTTAGGACAGTTCATGTTTGTGGTATTCATTTCTCCCATTTATGAGAATGATTGACAGTGGTTCTTAAACTGGGGTCCCCTGGGGGGTCTGTGAGCAGAAGTAGTGAGTAGATGTTTAACAACCCATTAAATTACACCAAATTGCAGGAAATCACATGTACTTCATTTAAAATTTTCTGGGAGAGGACTCCTAGACCCCTGCACTACCCTGCCCACTATTTGTGTTCCGGCATCAATGGGTTTAAAAATTAATCCCCATTACTTGGTATGATTACTGTTATGATCCTATTCAGTTTTATGTAAAGAGTTTTGTGTAATAATTTGAATTGGCAATACATTTATGTTCATTATGTGAATAAAGTTTTAAGTGGTTTTTGAGAATGCTAATTTTTTCAAAATTGTAATTTTCTGAAGTTGAAATTAAACATTTTGCTAATTAAGTGTCTTGAATGAAAACTACCCCATGTTGAAAAGTATAAAAATTGCAATAACACTATTAAAGAACAGGTTTTAAGTATTTATGTTACACAAATATTTCCATTGCATTAAAGAGATAAATTGAAGAAAATATTTTAATAAACATGAGGGTTATGGGGGGGGGTCCCTGAAACTTTCTCCCCTGTACGGGGTCCCTGAACCCAAAATGTTTGAGAACCCCTGCTTTAAAAGGCACATTTTAGGCTGTACTTATGTTTTGTCAAACACTGCTGGATTAAAACAACAGTGCTAAATTTTGGGTGTACATTTTAGTCAATTTCTTTGAACACTTGAATTCTCACCTCTCGATCCAGCCGTGCAACATTGACCAAGATAAATCCAGTGATTGAATTGATGGAAAACATGTTCACTTCAGGCATCTCAGGTTTCTGGCTCAAAATGCGGTAGCGGATATCAGAGTTCTGCGTATTTTCTTCATCAGCATCTTTTGCCACAACTTGAATCACTTCAAAATCTTATTAAGAGAAAGAACGGTATTAATTTATAGATACTTTCATAAATTTTAAAATACGTTTCTTCTTTCGGCTGCTCCCTTTGTCAGGGGTCACCACAGCAGACTGTCGCACGAAGACTTGGCAGTTATTTTTACGCTGGATGTTCTTCCCGACACAACCACAGACCACCGAGCTACCACAGCCCTCTGTGTGAAGCAGAGAGCTGCTGTCTAGGGCGCCCGGAGGAGCCGATGGTGAAGGTTAAGGGCCTTGCTCAAGGGCCCAGAGTACGAGGGTGGAGGCAAGTGTGAGTGTTTCATCGATCCCACCCACATTTTTGATGTTATCTGTACCAGGAGTTGAACCAGTGATCTTCCGATCACAGGCCCACCTTCTTTAACCACTGTGCCACCACTCCCTCGGATTTTAAAATACATTTACCGGTAATTAAATAAAAATGAAACAAACTAAAAAGGGAGCATTACCCAGTGTAAAGATTTATTCATTGTGGTGTTGGTCGATTTGCCATTTTTGTTTTCCTATTTTAAATAAATACTATAAAAGGAAACATTTAATTTCACCAACGTACTTTTTTTTGAAGCCTCAGGAACCTGTGCGATGTAGGTGGACTTCTCAAAAACAGGTTTGTTGTCATTTTGGTCAACTATAATCACTGTAATGTCCATAGGTAGTTCTGCAATTACTGCGCCATCTGCCACAGCATGTGCTTGAAACTATAAAAAACAAACAAGATGAGCCACTGAAGACTTCAATCTATACAACACTCAAACAAACACTGACATTTTGATTAGAATAGTTAAGAAAACTAGTTGAAAATCAGATCAAATATCAAACGCTGATCGTCACAACCCTGCTTCTAAGGCAATGACAACATGAAGATGCATACAGTCATACAGCCAGAGTAGGTTTTATTAAAACATCCAGAAATTAACTTAAATAAACATCAAAGCAAAAACAAATGTAGTTGGTAAATATCAGGAAGTCTGTTGTAGAATATTGGAGAACAGAACAATTTTATCTGCAGGGAAATCTTTGTTTCAAACACTAAAAGCTTATTTAAAAAATGGGTAAAATAAAACGTAAACTAAAACATCCTGATGCATGCTCACTAAACTAAAACAGTTCTGTTAGTTACCCGAATCATTTTAAGATTAGTTTACCTCCTAAGGTGAAAAACTAAGTAGCTTTTTTGAAAATATTGAAATAAAAATACAAATTTGTCTGTAAACTGCTGTAATATGTTCAAGAACAGAACAATTTATCAACAAGGAAAACTGAAAAAAATAAACCACCTGTATGAAAGTAAGTAAGAACATGCTTACCATGTACTCGTTTTGTTTCTCTCTGTCGAGTTCTTGAGTGACGTACAGATTTCCATTATCTCTGTTCATGGTGAAAAGGTGAAGCGGAGGCTGATCAGCTCCTGGACCAGTGATGCTGTAAAAGATCTTCATCGTTTTGTCTAAATTGGAGCGGATCTAAAACAAAACAAGTAAAATAAGCAAAAATTACGAATACTAAAAAACTCAAAGGCAAAGACAAAAAATGTATTCCTATATGAAGTCAAAAATCCACAAAAATTAGAAACACTACTCCCTGATTAAAACAATGACTCATTTTAACCACATGACGGTAAGAATCAGAATCGGAATAAACTTTATTATCATTGCACCGAGATACGAGAACATGTACGTACAGTCGTCTGAAAGATGGACGGAGTGCACAAAGCTGCTACTATAAAAAGTGTGGCCCTCTTATTCTTATTCTGAATAATATTTTGCTTAGACAAGAAAATGAAGAAAAACATGGAGACACTGTATAAAAAAGATCACACCTTATCCTAGACAGGGCACGATTTGAGGCATCAAAAAAAACTACCACAGCAAGGCACCATAAATAGACGTGATACATGTACAGTGAGGAAAATAAGTATTTGAACACCCTGCGACTTTGCAAGTTCTCCCACTTAGAAATCATGGAGGGGTCTGATTTTTTTATCTTAGGTGCATGTCCACTGTGAGAGACATAATCTAAAAGAAAAATCCGGAAATCACAATGTATGATTTTTTTAATAATTCATTTGTGTGTTACTGCTGCAAATAAGTATTTGAACACCTGCCAATCAGCAACAGTTCTGGCCCTCAAAGACCTGTTAGTCCTCCTCTATAACGTCCACCTTCACTCCACTTATTATTCTAAATTAGAAGCACCTGTTTGAGGTCGTAACTGCATAAAGACACCGGTCCACCCCACACAATCAGTTAGAGCATTGAAGATGAGTCATGGCTGGGTCTTCCAACATGACAATGACCCAAAGCACACAGCCAGGAGAACCAAGGAGTGGCTCCGTAAGAAGCATATCAAGGTTCTGGAGTGGCCTAGCCAGTCTCCAGACCTAAACCCTATAGAAAATATTTGGAGGGAGCTCAAACTCTGTTTTTCAGTGACAGCCCAGAAACCTGGTTGATCTAGAGAAGATGTGTGTGGAGGAATGGCCCAAACTCTCTGCTGCAGTGTGTGCACACCTGCTGAAACACTACAGGAAACCTTTGACCTCTGTAACTGCAAACAAAGATACTGTACCAAATATTAACATTAATTTTCACAGGTGTTCAAATACTTATTTTCAGCAGTAACACACAAATAAATTATGTAAAAAAATCATACATTGTGATTTCCGGATTTTTTTTTTTTTTAGATTATGCCTCTCACAGTGGACATGCACCCGAGATGAAAGATTCAGACCCCTCCATGATTTCAAAGTGGGAGAACGTGCAAAGTCGCAGGGTGTTCAAATACTTATTTTCCTCACTGTACATTTAGGCCGGTGAAGACATTGAATTTTCAGGGAAGGTCTTAGCATAGACCAGAGCCCCCCTCTCAGCCATTGTCCAGATAAGGTGTCATTCATCATCAGCTCGGGTGAGGTTCCGTCACATGTCCACAGTCTTGGGGACGGGAGGGGTGAGGAGACAGACAAAGCATCATTGTTTTGTCTAAACATGCAAGGAGGAGTTGAGATAAGTCCCCCGTCAAGACCACAGTTTGGGTCAGACAGAACTCGTGAATTGCCGTTTCTGCATTTTAAACTCTCGCTGGTACATTTCTCTGATGGTAACTCCAAACAGCCGAATTGATTCCTTGCGCCCAAAGTCGAGCTCACAGCTTCTCCAAGATTATTCCCAACCATTTATGTGTACAGCCAAAAAGTTCAGTCCTGATAACAGCCTGCTCCAACTCTCTGCCGCAGCTCCTCATAATTCAGTCTGAGTGCTGCCAAGCTTCGACACAGCCACATGAATTTGTAGACCATCCTGATTTCACCAACCCAAACAGCAGAATCTAGTTGTCATCATGAATCCAATTTGTTTCCGTAGGTAGGAGGGTCCCCTCCTTACCCTGATTCCTGACAGGAGAAGTTGATCAATTTTGTTGAGAGACCAGGTGATCCTTCAAATTAAGAAGGTATGCAGAAAAAAAAAAAAAAAGAGGTTCTTTGAGAGTTCACAAGACAAGAGAGCAAGCAGGGAAGCCGGGGGGGGGGGGGTAAGATGGAACACAGGGAGACACGTCCGTCTTCACCAGAGCACAGAGAGAGAGAGAAAAAATAAAAAAGGGATGTTTCCCAACAGAAAGTCTGTGTCTCATCCATGCATGGTGTTCTTATTAAGTTTGTAGATTCTTACAAATACTTCAGAATTCTGGTCGATGCACATCTCTCTTTTAAACCACATATTGAAAACTTGATAAAGAAACTAAAACTGGGTTTCTTTTTCAGAAATAGATCTTGTTCAACTCTGAATGCCAGGAAATGCCTTGCAACCGCTACCCTCCTACCGGCCATTGACTATGGTGACATTATTTACATGAATGTCTCTGCCGGCTCTTTGCAGATGTTGGATGCTGGCTATCATGGTGTGCCAAGATTCATAACTGGTTGTAACTACCGTACCCATCACTGCACTCAGTACTCCTTGGTCAGCTGGTCATCATTATCTACACAGACTTTCATACTGGTTCATAATCTATAAATCCCTCCTTGGTCTGCTACCTTCTTATATCTCCTCCCACATGTCACACCATCAGTGCAGTTACAACATGCGCTCTCAGGCCATCATTACCTGCAGCATCCCCTTGGTGCGGACTGAACTGGGCAAAAAGGCCTGTTCCTACTCAACTCCTGCACCTGGAACACCTTGTAACAAGAACTGAAGTTGTCCTCGATTTATTTAAGGGGTTTCAAACATTTGATAATGTCAATGGAAGAATTAAGGCAGATATGTTCTTGTTTTTAGTATTTCACCCTGTTTTACAGCACCCTGATTTATTGTTTTATACACTACTCTTATTTTAACTGCATTTTACTGTAGTCTATTGTTATTATAGTTTATTGTTATTGTCTGTACTTTATATGTTCTGTCAGGAATAGCTCCCTCTTGTAAATGAGTCCTCGTGGCTCAATGAGACTAGCCTGTAGAAATAAAGGTTGAATGAATGAAAAGGAACAGATGGTTATTGTGTTAAACACCTGCTACAGAAATAATTGTTAAATGTAAAAATGATGTGCTCTGAACACAACTTTGAGTTTTCCAAGAAATGAGAAATATGAACATTTTCTAAACCAAAAAAACTTAATTTCTGAATGGGGAAAAACTGCAATAAACACCATCAAGAAGACCACTGGACACAAAAAAATCTGCAGGAACAAAGAGTGAACATACCGGAGCGATCTTCAGGGGATAGGGTCCTCTGTGGTTCTCGGAAACATGGAGGTGAGGGATCACCCACTCTCTCTTAATCCTTTTCAGCCCACTTGTCAACTTGGGGAAATGCAAGACGGGCACTTGTGGATCTGCTGCACTCTAAAGAGATCACAAAGAGATCAAACTGATGAGTGGGTTTTCAGTAAGTTTTATTAATGATTTTTAACTTTTTAACGAACACAAAGAAAACACAAGGTGATGTGTGAGTTTAGAAAAAGTTTCTCACTCTCCAAACAAAAATGCATCACAGGAATGAAAGAAACCTAAAAGGTTTCTTGGGATTCTTCAAGTTCTCCACAATTTTTGAGCTGCATCTCCTTCTTATACTAGTGAAACATTTGACAAATTCTGTTTTAGCCTAAATATTGTATCAGTTTTTAAAGAATAAGAACCATTTCAACATCAAAACAGCCAATAATCACTTGGGATGCAGTTGTCTTTTTAAACACAACCACACAGGGGCAGCATCTTGTAGAAAATCATGTCTAACACCAGAACACAAGCCCAGTCCAGTATGATCCTAAGAAAAATAACTAATTTATGATCCATTCCGTATTTGTTATATTTGTATCGTTCCTGTTATTTCTACACCCACCTCTGTGTCTGCAGTCAGATTGAGCTGCTGGTTGTGGTGATTGTGAGCTCCATGCTGATGCTCATCATTGTGATGGTGGTTATGATGATGCTCACGATGCAGCACCATGACAGGAACAGTCATTTTATGTCCTTGTGAGTCCCATGAGTGGATGAAGAAGTCCCGGTGTCCCTCATGAAGAACAATTGGTCTCTTTACCTGCAGGAAGAACAAAACAATCTGAAGTTGGCAACAATCTGGCTTTTTCAGTTCAATTCAGTTTATTTATAGAGCAAGTCGCAACAGAAATTATCTCAGGACACTGAACAGAAACATTAATTTAAAATAATTAACATTATTTATCTGAGGAGCAGACTGCTTTGAATTTAACTCCATCACAGACTCATCTTGAGCAAGCATGAAGGTGACAGTGGAAAGGAAAAACTCCCTCATGAGGAAGAAACCTTTAGCAGAACCAAACTCAGGACAAGCGTCCATCTGCTTCGACCGGCTGGGTTTGAGAGGAATTAAAATGACAAATCATTAGAATTTACAAAAAGCTACAGAAGTTAAAAAGATTTGATTTTTACTTTAATTCTTTTTTTTATTTTTTTTTACACAACTTTAAAAATTGTGTCTTCACCATCACTTAACATTTTGAAGATCCTTCATTACAAATTTACTCTTCATCTCTTTAAACATCTCACATAACTCAGTTGTCCAAGAGGAACAGTTCGGTTACACACATTTATCTACAGTATCTCTGCAGAAACTGCAGCAGAGTTGCTGAAAATGGCTTGTTCTGTACTAGGGGTGCAGAAAAAAAAAAAATTATTAAAGAATCTAGATTCTTAGTTCTGGCGATTCTGAATCAATTCTAAAGGCCCATAAATCAATTTTAAAATGTGTTTAGTCTTAGTTTACTTTTGTATTTATACATTTTGAATTGTTTATTTGATGGACAGGAGACCTGTCCAGGCGTCCCCCGCCTCTCGCACGGTGATTGTTGGATATGGGCACCAGTGATACCTGTGACTCGTAAAGGAAGAAGTGGGTAAAGATAATGGATGGATAGACAAATTAATTATTTGTTCCTAGATTTTTATTTTTTTTTTCAGACAAAGCCAGGCAGCTAAGCTAACCTAATAAATGTAATTTAAGTTACAGAACGTTCTGCACTCCTATATTTGTTCCTGATTTAGGTAAATATAAAATTATGCAAAAAGTTTTGATACAGTAAGGAATCTAAATTATTGTTTTAAACAAGTAAAATGGATGGTAAATGGACTGTACTTATATAGGACCTTTCTATCTAATCAAGATACTCAAAGCTCTTTACACTACAATCTGTGTCTCATTTACCCATTCATACAGCACTACTAGATCTCTACAAAGATAATTGAACAAATCATTCTAATGAGACTAATCAGAGCTTTATCACATTCATACACTGATGGGACACACATCGGAGGCGATGAGGGATTCAGTGTCTTGCCCATGGACACTTCGGCATGTGACTGCTGGTGGATTCGAACGCCCAACTCTTGCATTGGAGGACGACTGCTCTAACCACTCAGCCACAGCCGCCCCTAAGTGTTCCATTTGTTGACGTTGTTTATTTTCATCTTGTAAATTACATATTTTAAACAAAATTTGACCATTTCAATAGAAAAATAGTTTCAGAATAAAAATAAATAAAATAAATAAAAATAAATTTAAAAAAAAAAAAATCGATTTTGGATCGAATCATGATACCAAAAATCGGAATAGAAAGACAAAGACTCACACCCCTATTCTGTACCATTGGTTATAAAGTCTAAGCTGAAACTAAATGAAAAGAATAGCGATGAGAGATGATGAGGATTCCCTTTTCCAGATGACATTGCCTGGAGCCAGTTCTAAATGATACAATTTATTTTGGTTTATAAAATATTACAGTTCAGAAGAGTTTATGTGCAGACTTGCACAGGTTTTGAAATTTTGTTAAAGATTTACCAAATATGAATCAATATTGTTAAGACTGAAGTCTGTATACAAACCGGATTCCAAAAAAGTTGGGACACTAAACAAATTGTGAATAAAAACTGAATGCAATGATGTGGAGATGGCACATGTCAATATTTTATTCGTAATATAACAGATGACAGAGCAAATGTTTATTCTGAGTAAATGTAACATTTTAAAAGGAAAAATATGTTGATTCAAAATTTCAGTGTCAACAAATCCCAAAAAAGTTGGGACAAGTAGCAATAAGTGGCTGGAAAAAGGAAATTGAGCATATAACGAACAGCTGGAAGACCAATTAACACTAATGAGGTCAATTGACAACATGATTGGGTATAAAAAGAGCTTCTCAGAGTGTCAGTGTCTCTCAGAAGCCAAGATGGTAAGAGGATCACCAATTCCACCATTGTTGCGCAGAAAGATAGTGCAGCAATACCAGAATGGTGTTACCTAGCATAAAATAGCAAAGACTTTTAAGTTATCATCATCAACCGTGCATAACATCATCAAAAGATTCAGAGAATCTGGAACGATCGCTGTGCGTAAGGGTCAAGGCTGTAAAACTCTACTGGATGCTCGTGATCTCCGGGCCCTTAAACGTCACTGCACCTCAAACAGGAATGCCACTGACAAGGAAATAACAGAATGGGCTCAGGAATACTTCCAGAAAGCATTGTCCGTGAACACAATCCACCGTGCCATCCGCCGTTGCCAGCTGAAACTCTACAGTGCAAAGAGGAAGCCATTTCTAAGCAAGCTCCACAAGCTCAGACGTTTGCACTGGGCCAGGGGTCATCTAAAATAGAGTGTGGCAAAATGGAAGACTGTTCTGTGGTCAGATGAGTCACGATTTGAAGTTCTTTATGGAACACTGGGACGCCATGTCATCCAGACCAGAGAGGACAAGGATAGCCCAAGTTGTTATCAACGCTCCGTTCAGAAGCTTGCATCACTGATGGTATGGGGTTGCATGAGCGCTTGTGGCATGGGCAGCTTGCATGTCTGGAAAGGCACCATTAATGCAGAGAACTATGTTTAGGTTCTAGAACAACATATGCTCCCATCTAGACGTCATCTCTTTCAGGGAAGACCCTGCATTTTTCAACACGATAATGCCAGACCACATTCTGCAGCAATCACAACATCATGGCTACGTAGGAGAAGGATCCAGGTACTGAAATGGCCAGCATGCAGTCCAGATCTTTCACCTAAAGAGAACATTTGGCGCATCATAAAGAGGAAGGTGCGACAAAGAAGGCCCAAGACGATTGAATAGTTAGAGGCCTGTATTAGACATGAATGGGAGAGCATTCCTATTTCTAAACTTGAGAAACTGGTCTTCTCTGTCCCCAGACGTCTCTTGAGTGTTGTAAGAAGAAGGGGGGATGCTACACAGTGGTAAAAATGGGCTTGTCCCAACTTTTTTGGGATTAGTTGATGCCATGAAATTTGTAAACAATAGATTTTCCCCTTAAAATGATACATTCTCTCAGTTTAAACTTTTGATCTGTGATTTGTGTTCTATTCTGAATAAAATATTAGATGTTGGCACCTCCACATCATTGCATTCAGTTTTTATGCACAATTTGTTTAGTGTCCCAACTTTTTTGGAATCCGGTTTGTATTTCATAATAGGTTAAGTTTTGAAAATAGAGCAAATGTTAGTGCAATGTTAAAAAAACAAAAACTGTGAAGTCTGTATTTTATGTTAAGTTAAATGTTAAAGCACTATGGGAGGCTGAAGTTGGTTTGGTTTTGTATTCATACATTTTGAATTATTTCTCCGTGATGGACTGGAGACCTGTCCTGGTGTCCCTCACCTCTCACACAGTGATGGCTGGACATGGGCACCAGTGACACCCGTGACTCGAAAAGGAAGTGGGTAAAGATGATGGATGGATGCATGATTTGTTCTTAAGATTTAAAAAAAAAAAAAGTTTTTAGAAAAATCCAAGCAGCTAAGCTAACCTATTACTGGTAATTTAAGTTACAGAATTTTATGCACACGTATATTTGTTCCTATTTTTGGTATAAATATAAAATAATGCAAAAAAGATTTGATATAGTAAAGGACCTAAAATTATTGTTTTAAATAAACGTTATACTTGTTTACATTGTTTAATCTTTTCATCTTGTCAATTACATAACTGAAACAAAATTTATGACTATTTCAATAGAAAAATTGTTTCTGAATCGAAAAATGGATTTTGCATTGAATCGTGACACCAAAAAATCGGAATCGAATCGATTCGCCAGACACAGAGATTCGCACCCCTAGTTCGACTGTCTAAGATCCAATAAACTTCAGATTCCAGTGTGCTGTAAAATGTGCCGCAGACGTTTGCTGCATGGGTTATGTTGTCGTTTAAAGTTCAAACTATTAATAATGACAAAGTTGAGTTTTATGTTTCTTTGACGGTGATTTTGAATTTCTTTGAAGGCTAAATAAAAATAAAAGGTGAACATTAATTTGTACAGTTTTTTTAGGCTTTTATAATGTTTATATCAATATCCAAATTATATTGTTATTGATCAAAATTGAGAAATATATCTTGATAAAAGTTTTGGCCATATCGTCCAGCCCTAAACATATCTGACCCAAACTCCTGCTGATTAAAACACAGGCAGACGATACAAGGACCTGTAAAGAATTTTAAATTAACATTGAATCAAACTGCACAGGATGAAGTTTGTCACTCACAGTTAATACACCGTCTGTCTGCACCACAAAACGACTGTCATCAGTGCCGAAAAGAAATCTTGTGCGGTCGGTGCAGTCAGTGAAGCCAACTGAAAATTAACAAAATAATCAACCATTAAAAACATTACACACAAGCAGAAAGTATTGGCATTTTTAAATACATCCGAAGTGAAATTTTAAAATAATGACAATGGCAGATGGAAAGTTTGGCATTTTTGGATCAAAAGGTGGAAATTTTAATAATTTTATTCAGGTCTTTGACAGAATACATGACATTGTCTACAGACAACTTTGTAAAACTCATCTTTCAATAACAATAGAGTCCAAGTAGATTTGATTTTAAAAAGAAAAAATGTGGCATTCAACTACGGGCTGCAGCAAAAGTACCACAGTACAAGTTCTGTCATGACTGGGCTCAAATGATTCATGTTGCAGTAATACAGTAATTATCTCCACTGCATCCAGCTGCAACCAGTCGCTTAGACTGGGCTTTAAATATGAAGGAACTGGCTTCAGGCAATGACCTGCATTAGACCTTTTTCAGCTGGACCAGCACCAGAGAGGAAAAAAAAAACCTTTTTCATTAAGATTCAGAGCTGTGTGGATAGAAAAATCTCAATAAAATTTGGGGCAAAGCATTTTTGAATCAATACTTGGAACCAGCCAGACAAGACTCCCCCCACCCCCCAAAAGAAGCCAACCAAAAATCTATAGCTAATTCAGCCAACGTATTTTCCGCCGTACATTTCGCACCGCCATACAAGTTGCGCTAGTCCAAATATGTCTAAAAAAGTGGAAAACAAGTCGATTTGCCGTATTAGTCGTATCTATTATGAATCACAGCTGACGCGTCGCATTTGTTACGCGTCACCACATACAAACCAGAAATGTGGGCCGGTGTGCCAAAAATCGATTGGCTGCCAAATGGCAGCCACGGGAGCATGCACAGGAGAATTTTAACAAGAATTTAACAAGATTAACACTTAAAACACTCATTTGTTAGCTCGACTTTATAGTAAAGGTGTGTCTCAGTTGAACTTTTACGTAATAAATGCACCTCAGGTCGTTTTCACACCAGATAGTCCGGTAGACTCGGTTCGGGACCAATATTCATGAGCTTTTGTTTACATTTGAGCTGGTGCGTTTGCATTCACACTGCACTGTGCAGTCGAGTCAACCTGTTGAACCAACCTATTCCCCCGCTCGCCTGTGGGGGCGCTGCACCAAGAACTACTGAAAGAAATGACACAAAAACCTCTGAAGACACTTCTTCTGGAAATAAAAACAAAAACAAAGTGGCATCAAGTTTTAGCAGTTTTAGGAATTATATTTTGTCATTTTTCAAAAATGGACAGCATGAGCAGAAGATAAGATAGAAGAACATGGAGAATATTGTTTTTCCACACAAGGCAGCTGATGGCTCCATATAAGGTCAGAGAAATGTGTGTTTGTTTACCCTGCGGAGCGGGGCCCAGTCTGATTACATTCACACTGCACTCGAACCGCGCTGGAGTTCGCTTCTACCGGATCGAGACCTAGGTTTTAGCCCGGGCCAGAGTTCGCCTTTTTGTTCCGCGACAGAGTTCGATGGCGCGTTCACACCTCCCCAAATGAACCGGACTTTCTAGGAAAATAAGCAAGAGTTCGATTAAAGCGGACTAAACAGGGCTGGTGTGAATGCACCCTCAATGGTCAAATTAGCTGCATTTCGCCAGGACGGTGCAGCGAAATGAAGCCAATTTGATGGTTGCGCCAGGTGAGCTGGACGAAGGTGGCAGGCTATGACAAGCCGAATGTGTCATGAATAGATACTTTTACCGATTACATGGCACAAAGGTGTGCACTCGTCATGGCACTTGAGTGACATCTAGCGGCTGAAAATGGTAGTGTTCAATATTTTCCATGTCAGAATGAATGAAAACAGTAATATCTGTCAAAAATTGGGTTGTATAAATAAGTCGCTTCAGCACATAAGTCGCAGGGTATGCAAATTAGGCAAAAAGGTGTGACATAGGCTGGAAAACACGGTAATTCACATTTATACTTAGACAAAACTGAATTTTTCTGTGCATTTCTTTTTTAAATGTGTTAACATTCTATTTAATGTTTTACTGTTGGCCTCACTTCCGTTTACAAGAGTTGCAAAAAACAAATTTTGATTTATCTACAGAAGTACAGACATTTACATCTTGACTCCTACCTCATCAAATCAGAGAGCTGCTCAAACAGGAAATGATTCGTTATGATTCAAAGAAAACGAGCATAAAAGAAATTCAGCATCCAACTAATTTTTCTTAATGGCAGCCAAAGACAATATGGTGATGAGGTCTGTCACTTATCCACTGAGTAAATAAGGAACTTAAAACATTACAACACATTCTGGGTAATAGCCTCAACCCTAGTAACAACTATAAGTAAACAAGAAGCAGTGGTCCAAGTGAAAGACCAATTATGTAATATGATGAAAAAACACCAAAAAGACATTTAGTTTTATGGCAACAAACTGTCACAGGACGTTAAGGCTCATAGTTACTCTCATCTCATAACTCTGGTACATTCTCATCTTTAAAAATAATTTTTTGGTCTGTTGCCTTCATATACCTCCTCCTCCATGTCACAGAGTGAAAGTAGCCATTTGCCAGTGTATTAGCCATTACTACTTTTTTCTTACACTTTGTACCCCACAGTTTATATGCAGGAGTATACTGAAGTATTTTTTGTAATTTTCATAAGCTATATTTTTATATTTTGAAAGACTTCCTGCTGTCTCTCTGTAACTTTCTGCTGCTGACTAACATTTTTCTTTGACAGAGCTGGGCGCTCGTGGCTCCCAGCACCCTGCCCTTCTTGGGGACAGGCGTTTGTGACACACAGTGAATGTCCTCAGGTAATCAGATGTACCAAACTTCTTGCTCACGGTTTCAAATTCCTACCATAACTCCACCCACTCTCTCATGTGACCAGAAGTCTAACCTCAATGACCAATGAGGTACTCGAGGACCATTACCCAAGATAGATGTGCATTAATTTCTTCAGCTCGTTCCCGTGTTTTTAACATACAGTATTTTGCACTTCATGCACAGACCTGTTCATTTGTTCAGCAATAATGGAAAACGCACAGAGAATTTATTTTGATGCAGCTTTCATGTTAAAAGCGATCGGCTGTCTAGGAGGAAACAGAGCTGCTGCCCGAAAGCTTTGCATCAATGCCTCGATGGTCGGGCATTGGAGACACAAAAGCAGTCATCTGGTACATGTTTTTATAAAAAAGTTTTAGGGATGCACAATATTAGATTTTTGGCCAATATCCCGATATGTTAAAACGGTTACATACTGTAACCCCAGATTCTATGAGTATAGGCATAGCCCTTTTAAGACTGTCACTAGTGGGTTTATCCAGTCGCGCTCAGTGGTGCACTGAAAACTTTAGTTCACGCCCAACTGCTGTGTGTGGGCCTCACCCCCGGTCCATATAAATTACGGTGAGACCAAGTAATCGGCTCCCAAATAGATGTTTTTCTTCAGCCATTAGGAACCAGTGAGGCCCAGAACTTAAAGGGCTACGCCTATACTCATAGGTTACAGTACGTCACCAACGTTCCATTTCGTATAGGCTTTGCCCTTTAAGACTGTCGCTAGTGGGTTAAAGGCGAAGCAGGATGTAGTCTATGCCTCATTGGGTCCATTCAGACAACATGAAGCACCTGCTTGCACAAAAAAAAAAAAAAAAAACATTTCATCACGCAGCCTTCTGTGTGCGTAATTACGCGCTGCGTAATTGCATGCTCCGTGCGCAGGAGCGCACCGGAGAAAAGATCTCTGGTGAGGAAAAAAGGGCTGAGATAACAGATCTGCTGATGTGAATAGGAACAACGGAACAACAGAGGATACAAATTGTAACAGTGTAACAAACAGAGCAGACCAACAGCTCCTCAGGATGAACCGGTTAATAACCATAAAATCAGCAGTCGTCCACTCCCAACGGTGGGTCGTCTCATGGGCACAATGAGAACTATAATTGACACTGGGCGCCCTCCTGTGTGGCGGACAGATCCACTGCTGCTCAGCCAAAAACTTGCTCCAATCCGAGAAATCAGCTCGGGATGGAGGCTCCAGTCTCTGTGGCGGGGACCACCCCTCAACATTATATCCACTCGCCTGTTCAGGAACGCTGGGAAAGTACACTGTTCTGATGGGAGAGCAGGTTTTTGTGTGGCCAACACAACAGCGGTTTCACGATACGCAACAGTTAGGCTGAGCGCACACTTCCCTGACGGTATATGTAAACTGCCGTCACTTATTGTCTGTGTGGATCAGAACATGCTGATCCCGCAGCAGGGGCAAAATGCTGAGTCACGTTTTCGACCGTGAAAAACATTCTAGCACATTATGTAAAACGACATGTGGTCCAGCCACTGTGCTCCCACTGCTTGGGACAGAAACATTCCTCCCAGATCGACAGGAACGCATCTGTGAAAAACTGAGACGTGTGACGTAACCCTGCTGATGGGAACTCCCTCAGACAGAATGAGGGGGTTTGACACGGCGGAGCTGAGCTGACAGAGCTTCGGCTCTCAGCTGTGATAAACGGGCTCTCATTGTAGTTGAATTTAGCTCTACTTCCAGATAAACAATCATCTGGGACGTTTTGGTCTGTGCGACAGCTTTCTAACTGGACCGAGCTAATAAGAGCAGATCCAAATAAAAAGATTTCTCATTCCTGCCATGTGCAACGACTGCAGAGCCGTCTCCACGCATTTCGAGAACGTGCGTGGGGCATTTCAGAATGATGGAAATGTGAAAACATGTGCTCTTCAGATCTATGGAGGTGAAAACCAGTCGTTCTGGTGAAGTTCTCCAGCAGCTGTTTGTCAGCATGTGGAATTGTCTCCCCATGATCGAATTGCTGAACATGAACAGATTGAGAATGGATCTCATCCCTCTGGTTTTTTTTTTTTTTTTTTTTTAAATCAGAACCAGGAAGTAGCGGGAGGAAAAAAAACAACGTAATTTCCTCTCTGTTGGGAACTCTGGAAATAACGTTTTTCAGTAGAAATTCCTGGACTTATGACTAGAGAGACAAGCTCTG